GTGGACTTCAATTCCCAGAATTCTGGGAGTTGAAGTCCACATGCCTTAAAATTGTCAAGTTTGGGAAACACTGGTCTAAGATATCTTTCTGAGGCTTGGTGTAATTGGAGATATTTTTTCAAAGAAAAATAAAATCAAATAGATGGCTTACAGTTCTGATATAAGTTCACTCGCTTAGATATACAAGGTTGGCAATAATATGGATGGGAAAAGCATGCTGAATCTATTCTCAAGTCTCTTGGGTCTGTGAAGGTCGCGCTGCTAAAATAATATCTCCCGTCAACATTGCTGGCTGGAGTTCACGTCAGGTGGCTTTTCATAATACATACGCCTGACGCTCACACTTCAGAAGCTATGAACATATTTGATGCCCTTGAGTCTTGAGGGTTTTTTTGGGGGGGGGGGTAACTCTTGGCAACTGCCTGCACAAGTCCCTGCACAAGATTTCGGAAGTGGTTTGCCATTGCCTGCTTCCTAGGGTTGAGAGAGAATGACTGGCCTAAGGTCACCTAGCCAGCTTTGTGCCTAAGCTAATAATAATAATAATAATAATAATAAGTAGTAGTAGTAGTAGTAGTAGTAGTAGTAGTAGTAGTAGTAGTAGTAATAGTAGTAGGAGCAGCAGCAGCAGCAGCAATAATAATAGGTGCCTTGGGTGCAATCCCAAAACAACTGGGGCAACACTTGAACACCATCACTGGCATTGACAAATTCAGTTGCAAAAGGTGGCCTTACTAGGAACTGCTTCCATCCTGCAACGAGATCTGTAATACCATCAGACATGCACATCTGCCTATCCCAGGTCCTGGGTAAGGACTCGATAGGTAGACAAAAATCCAGTCTGAACATCTGGCTGACTGTGCAATGATTAATAATAATAATAATAATAATAATAATAATAATAATAATAATAATAATATAGAGTTGGAAGGGACCTTGGAGGTCTTCTAGTCCACCCCCCAGCTGAGGGAGGAAACCCTACTATAGGTCCTCCTGCTTGAGCAGGGGGCTGGACTAGAAGACCTCCAAGGTCCCTTCCAACTATTCCTATTCTATTCCATTCCATTCCATTCCATTCTTTCCCTATTCTATTCTATTCTATTCTATTCTATTCTATTCTATTCTATTCTATTCTATTTCTTTCCATTCCATTCCATTCCATTCTTTCCCTATTCTATTCTGTTCTGTTCTGTTCCGTTCCATTCCATTCCAACTCTGTGCAGAGAACAAAGATGAAAACTCGATTTGGATCCTTCTCTGTCCGTCCATCTCCAGCCTCAGACACAATACAAGGGGGGGGGGGAACCCTGCATTTTCCCCTGTCTGCCTTTGGAGAGGGTCATGCCCTCTGCTATGAAACACACCAGGAGAGAGAAAAGGAAATCTGGATTCCACTTGCACTTGTGCTAACACTTTTGATGACTAACCAAGCCACCCTTTGTAAAAGAAAATGGAACGTATTTCCAGAAGGGGGGGGGGAAAAGCTCTTTCTAAAAGGGCTGGTGTCTCAAAAAAATAAATAAATAAATAGATGCAGAGCCCGAACAACAACAACAAAAAAATATGTTATAAACATGGAAAGCTTGTCAATCTAGATCACATCACCTTCCCTCACTGGGCTCTGATAAATGCAACCCCAGGAGGAGCTGGAGAGAAATCTACCCTTCCAAAGGCTTCTTTGCAATCATCCAGTCTCCGAATCCATCCTGGCTAAAGCTATTTTGAGCGCCCGCTTTGTTTGCCAACGTGGACCATCCTCTCCACGTGTAAACATTTGCTCCGTTCATTATAATTATCCCTGGTTCTCTTTCCCTTGAAAAACCAAAGATTTCTCCTCAAGAAAAAGAAGCCTCAAAGGTGAATCTTTGAGGAGTAGGAAGGGTAATGAATTTAATCAGAGAAAGGAGGTGTTGGGTTTGGGGTCACTGATAGAAGCACCTGGACCAGAGATGGCAAACGTTTGGGGCTGGGCATGTCAAAAAAAATCATAACATGCCTTACTTGACTCTTGACTCATCCTTGAACAAAAGGGAGACAATTCTTTACATGCAGATAGTCCTCAACTTACAGAAAAGGGTGATTTGTGTGTGTGTGTGTGTGTTTTTGTGTGTGTGTATCTGTGTGATTGCCAGCCCCAGCACCAGTGGTGGGATTCACCCAGTTCATACCACTTTGGCAGATAATTTTTTTGTTGCCCAGGCTCAAAATGGACTTCCGGAAGCGGCATTCCCACAGAGAACCAGTTCTTCACCTATTTCAGTGTTTCCCAAACTTGACCATTTTAAGGCATGAGGACTTCAACTCCCAGAATTCCACAGCTATGGAATTCTGGGAGTTGAAGTCCACATGCCTTAAAATGGTCAAGTTTGGGAAACACTGACCTATTTGAACCCCACCCCTGCCCAGCACCCCTCTCCAAAGCCAACAAATGGGGAGTTTTTATTTTTATTTTATTTTTTGTAAAAAAATTTATTTTCAATTTTACAATACATAACAATCTTACAAATACTTCAGATAAAAAATAAAACAAATTGATACACACCACATTCGGTCTTGCCCGCCCGTTTCCCCCCAAACCACATCCCACCTCAGACCAACTTACTTCTTTCCCTCTTCTTCTAAATAGGGAGTTTTTAAAGGGCTTCGTGCAGGGAAGGAGATTCTCTTGAAGAGCCAGGAAACACCAAATGCATCCAGGCTCCAGCTGAGCATAGGACAAACATTTGCTGGATGTCTGTGCTGCTAAATGCCACCTACTGTGTTTATATGGGGAAATGGGTGGGTGGCATTTTCCAGTGGTAAACAAAGCCAGGCAGAAACACGATGGGGAGAGAGACGTGGTTGTCGGAGCTGGGCAGAGTTAAGGCTTCCTCAAAGCTGTACAAATTGTACCTGAGAAAATGCACCACGGGCACAAATGTCTTAGGAGAATCTCAGTCATCCATTTTTTTCAGGAGGCAACTGGACCTTCTTGCTTGAAGACATGTCGCTTCTCATCCCAGAAGCTTCTTCAGCTCTGGCTGGAGGGAAATTCCCCACCCTCCAGTCAGAGCTGAAGAAGCTTCCGGGATGAGCAGCGAAGCGTCTTCAAAGAAAAACAAAGAAGTCCAGTGGCCTCCTGAAAAAGCATCTTTGGCACAAATCCCAAACTGTATTATCACCGTATGAAAAACGCACCTGCTTTGATTGCACCCAGCGTCGTGCTACAGACCAGGGGCCGCCAATCCCCAGTCTGTGGACCAGCACCAGGCCGCAGTATGTAAGAAGGAGAAATTCTGTATCTCCTTCATCGGCCCACCTTTCCATCATCCCACCCTACCACACGTCAACGAGAGCAACTTCTAGTTCTTTTCACAGAATATGGTGGGTGGGGAAACAGTCACCATTACAGTTTGTCCATCATTGAAGCTCTGAACAGGGCACGGATTGTCTGTCTTATTATTTGCCATTGGGACAGTACAAATTAGATCTGTTCCGCCAGAGGAATGAACCTTAATTTGGCCATCTGGCGGTGCCTTTGGCTTCTGGATGAGATGATTAAGAGTCCCTTCCTTCGTGCCCTTAAAGGCTCTGTAGAAGCTGCAGCTAATTCAAAAATAAAATAAAAATAAAAATAAATAACCTTCTAAGTTGCTGCTAGGACTATTATTGAGAAACTGCATCTCTCTAGTTTTCGGAGACCTTCGTTGGCTGCCAATATGAATTCAGTCTTCCTTAGTGATGTTTCTGATGGCATGTAGTCCTCAATTTACAAACATTCCTTTAGAGCAGTGGTTCTCAACCTGTGGGTCGGGACCCCATTTGGGGTCGAACAACCATTTCACGGGGGGCGCCAAACAAGGCTGTCTGCCATTTTTTCCCCTTTTCTTTGGCCACGCCCCTGGCACCCTGTGATGTATAAGTGGTTGGGGGTCACCACAACATGAGGAACTGTATTATGGGGTCACGGCATTAGAAAGGTTGAGAACCACTGCTTTAGAGACTGTTCAATGTTACAACGGCTCGGAAAAAAAGTGACTGACGAGCATTTTTCAGCAAGGTTGTAAAACGGGGCAAAACTCCATGGTCTTGCTTAGCGAGAGAAACTTTGGGCTCAATTGCAGACGTACGTTGAAGACCCCCTGTATTTTATAGTATTTTTAGATCTTTGTGAACTGACCGTTCAAGGTTACGACAGACCCATCTGGGAGTTACTTATAACTTGAATTCGAAATTCTGAGAATTGGGGGGGGGGAGAACAGTGGTCAGGACGAGACCTCTTGCGCTTGACAAGAAGATCCCATTTCTTGTCGTTAGCAATGCCCCACAGTCCCATGATTGCGTTTTATGACACGTTTGCTGGAAAAAAGAAATCAGCATTTATTCCCCTTTTTGTCAAAACCACGGCCACAATGAACCATCGCTTGAACTAACGACGGCAGTGTTAGCTTAACCCCCACCTCAAAAACAAGGCATAAAAGCGTCGTGACTTCCCGCCAGATGGACAGGTCTCCTTCCAGTCGTTAAATCGAGGACAAGACATCTTTCTGTACATTTATTATGTCACCAAGCTGGGAGAGGGGCAAGTACCTTGTTCGTACTTGCGCATTACACATCGTGCAGATATTATACGTAGGTGCTCTGTCTCTTCCTTTTGTAGGTAGGGCATAAACTCAACTTTGATTTAATGTCAGTTTGTAGCCACGGAGAGAAATCAAATGCTCTGCTTTATTCCCACTTTCCTCCGCCACCTCTGATTTTTATCTGATTCCTTTTATACAGACCTTTTAAAAATGCTGAGCCCAGCCGATAATGCATTCTGGAGCAAAAAAAAAAAAAAGAAAAAGCAAAACACAAACCCTGACTTCTACTAAATCAATGAATAGCTAGCTAGACTCCTTTCAGGTCATTGGCATTGTTACAAGGTTAACTGAAGGCTAAAGGAACAGATCAGATATTGAGTTTGCTAACTCCGGCAAGGAAGGGAGACCCCCCCCTGCATTATAAGTGGATGTTGGTAG